CTGTCAAACTGTGAACTGTCATCGTCAATCGGTCCATCATCCCTAGTGGCAATTTACAACTCCTACGGACCTACACTGCTACACTCTGGTAATTATTATTCTTTGCTTTCGACAGACGATTTTGCTTTTTCTACTCTCTTCTTTTACTTTGAAAACCTTGAACAGTTCCCAGCTTTCCAAATTCAATGGTATGAATTTTATTTTCGCTTTTGGTTGCCGTAACATTCACTACGAATTCAGCTGACTTTCCTGAATTACGATCCCATTTCTTGTTTTGGAAATTTGATATTAATTGTTTGTGTTTGGATTTTAGTTTGCTTCAGCTTCTGTTGCGGTTGGGAGGGAGAGTGGAGGGAGGAGGATGGAGAGGGAACCGACCAAGATTTGTGCTCCGATAATGGCGGATTCTGTGGATGAGATGTTGGTTTTTATGGGCAAAGCTAAAGCTAGTGGGGCTGATCTTGTTGAAGTTCGATTAGATAGTTTGAAGGGTTTCCGTCCTCAGGAGGATCTCAAGGTTTTGGTCAAAAAGTGCCCTTTGCCCACTCTGTTCACATACAGGTTGTCCAAATTGGGTTTTTTTTTTTTTCTTATTCATGATTTGATTTCTCTTTCTGTTTTCCTTTTATGTGTCTTCTGTTGTACATTGTGAAGATTGAGCTGGTTTGTTGTGTTAGACTGACTTGAAATTGTTCTAATAACATGCAATGTGTAAGTATTGCATTAATTTTTCTTTTTTATGAGAGTATTGTGTACTGAATTAATTTTTAGGAACTTGCTGATTTCCGTTATATGTTAGGAAGATCGGTACTTTACTGTTTAAATATGTGTCTGGTTGCATAACTTATAAAAACCATCAAGTATGGATTTTTATATATATATATATTTTTTGGGTTGTGTATTTAGACCAAAATGGGAAGGCGGTCTGTATGATGGTGATGAAAAAGAGCGTTTAGATGCACTTCAATTGGCCATGGAGTTGGGAGCTGATTACATTGATGTTGAGCTTCAGGTTTCCCTCTCTTTGATGTGTAACTTAAAATCTCTATCACAGAATGTTTGTATTTTACCACCTTGGTTGAATCCTGCGATGTTTTATGTGTAAGAATAAGTATTGTGGTTGGAGATCATAGTTGCACATGTAAAATTTATTCAAAAAGTTTGGCATTGAATACCCAAATTAATGTGTAGAACAATTGAGAATGGGGGGAAAAAAACGAAAAGAAAAGAAAGATAGAACAAACTTGAACCTTTTTTTTTAATTCCTTGATAAGGATGGAAATTATTGTTCATTCCTTTTTTGTGCTGAATTTTCCATGTCAATTTTATTTTTCTAATATCCATTGCTTCTCCGTGAAGGTTGCTGATGAATTCATTAAATCGATTCATGGTAAGAAACCTGAGAAATTCAAAGTCATTGTTTCCTCACACAATTATCAAAACACTCCATCCGTTGAGGAGCTTGGGAACCTTGTTGCAAGAATACAAGCAACTGGAGCTGACATAGTGAAGATAGCAACAACTGCCATGGATATAACTGATGTGGCACGCATTTTCCAGATAACTGTGCATTCTAAAGTAAGAAGCGTATTTAACCTGCCATCATTTGAAAATCTGTCATTATTTTGTAGCTTCCATTTTGTGGTTTTGGCAGATGAGAACATTAGCTGTTGAAATAGATACTGCTGTAAGAACATTATGAATCATTAGCCATATGAGGCTCTACATGTTATTGTTTATGGTGGTAGTATGTGGCATGTTAAGGATGGAGATGACTTCACAAATGTTCAACATGACTAGTTTATTGGTCACTTTAACTAACTTTGAACTGGATTTTGATTGAAGAAAATTGGACAAAGAAAGAAACTTGTTTGGATCTTAAGGATGACTGTTCTTGATATTGTATACGTTTTTTTTACCAAAGAAGTGGTTTTCCCATGGCCAATGGATAATCTGGATGTAAGGAAAAGAAATGAATCCTTATAGATGGTGACTATGCAGCAGTTACACCATTTTTATAGAGATGCTAAGAAACTTGTTACGGTATACTTTTGAGTGTAGTTGGAAAGTTTTTTCATATTACAAAATTTTCTGTCCTTTTGTATTTAACATTGCTTAAAAGTTAAAATTAAGAAAACTATGGTGATTTTGTTGGCTGGATTGAAGTTGTGACTGGTGACATTTGATGTTTTCATGATTGCTTATATAATCAGAATTCACTGAGGATTTGTTCCTAATTGAAATTTTAGGTTCCAGTCATTGGACTTGTTATGAGTGAGAGGGGGTTGATTTCTAGGGTACTCTGTGCAAAATTTGGGGGGTTTCTCACTTTTGGAACCCTTGAGGGTGGAATTGTTTCAGCTCCTGGTCAGCCAACAATCAAGGACCTGTTAAATCTGTACAATTTTAGGCTAATAGGTCCTGATACTAAAGTGTATGGCATTATTGGGAAGCCTGTGGGGCACAGCAAATCACCTATTCTATACAATGAAGCATTCAAATCAGTCGGCTTCAATGGGGTGTACTTGCATTTGCTCGTGGATGATGTTGCAAAATTTTTCCAGATTTACTCATCCACAGATTTTGCTGGGTTCAGGTTCATTTCTCCTGTTAGACATCACCACTTTTTGAAAGATTATATCTGAATGTTTTGTTCTTGCTATGCCCTTGTGAGGACTGCAAATAGTAGCAATTTTGCTTCTAAACTGAATAACTGAATGTTGTGACTTCATTCCACTTGCAGCTGTACAATTCCTCACAAGGAGGCTGCAGTAAAGTGCTGCGATGAGGTTGATCCAGTTGCAAAGGTCTCATGATCTATTCGTCTACTAATGCTAGCATTACAATCTCCACATGAATAAATAATGATTTGTTTCATTTAAGACTACATTTACCTTATGTCACATCCATCCATGATTGATTTGTTTTAAGTAAATATCACAGGCTATTGGAGCTGTTAATTGCATTGTGAGGAGACAAAGTGATGGGAAGTTGTGTGGCTACAATACAGACTATGTTGGTGCTATTTCTGCTATTGAAGATGGACTACGAGGTTTCTTGTATATTTTGAGCTGATCATACAGTTCTTTTAGCAACTTTTGGGCAAGGATGTTTACTTAAATGTTCTTTACAGGCACATCTAAGACGAGTACTACTGCTGCTTCACCCTTAGCTGGGAAGCTGTTTGTGGTTATTGGTGCTGGTGGTGCTGGAAAGGCACTTGCTTATGGTGCAAAAGAAAAAGGAGCAAGGGTTGTCATTGCCAATAGGACCTATGGTAAAGTCTTATACTGTGGTGTAGTGTAAATATGAAATTAGAGCTTCATTTCACTTGTTCCTTTTTTCTTGTTGGCAAATTTACCTGTTTTGGTTCATTTAATTTGTCTGTTCTCTTTATTTATTGGATTCAGTTTCTGGTTTCCTTTATAATCTTTTTCCATGAGAATATTTTTCTCTTCTTCATGACATATGCTTCTACAAAGAATCATTTATCATGTGAAATGAAATTATAATGTAAAATAAACATATTTCTAGGTCAAATTAGAAATTACACTAGTTGTTCTTCCAATAATTTTCTACAAAATTATGGATTTGCTTGGCTGACTCAAGTCTGGGAGCTCCCACAGCCTTTAAAATCAGTTTGTGGAGTATGATTTATCTTTTCTAACCATGCTTCTCCTTCTATTGACTAAAGCATTTTAGCAAATGGCTTATTTTCAAATTGATCAAGATTCATAGTTGCATTGACAATGATTTATAGTTTGTTAAATTGTTTTATTTCCTCCACTTGAAGATCGAGCCAGAGAACTTGCAAACACAATTGGAGCAGATGCCATATCTCTTGCTGATTTGAATAATTTCAATCCAGAGGATGGAATGGTTCTTGCAAACACCACATCCATTGGAATGCAGCCAAAAATTGATGAAACACCTATTTCTAAGGTTTGCCTTCTTTCCGTGGAGTTCTCTTATGAATGGAAATCACTTAAGACTGAATTGATGTCCTACCTAAGAACCTAATATGCTTTATCATCAAAAGAATCCAGTTACTTTAACATTTATAGCATAAATAATTGTGAAGCAGGACTAGATCTGTTCCTAATATGATAAAACATTGGTAGAGATATATGTTCAACCCTATAAATTCATCAGCTGGCTGCTTGCCACTTGAGGGTCAGTGTTATCATTACATGCCCAGTAATGACTCCTACTGGAAGAAAGGCCTTGGCTTAGAACAGTAGCCTTTACAGAGAAATGTTACATATAATTAATATATGAAATGCAAGTGTGAATATTAAGGGAGCCTATGAAGCTGGATTTTCTTCTGAATTTTCAGCAAAGCCTTCCTACATGTGAAGTTTTAGCAGACTCAAAGGCTACAGAATTAAGTGACTTCCTGTTTTGCAGCATGTTCTGAAATACTATTCACTGGTTTTTGATGCGGTATACACCCCAAAAATAACCAGACTTCTGAGAGAAGCACAAGAATCTGGGGCAATAACTGCTTCTGGGTTGGAAATGTTCATTGGGCAGGCATATGAACAGTATGAGAGGTTCACAGGATTGCCTGGTAAGATGAGATAGATAAATTCAGTATCCTTCTTTAAAGCAGTCCTATTCAATCAGTTTTTCATTAAATTGTGTTTATGTTTTTTTTTTTTAATTCCTGGGTACTTTCATGTTTACCTACAGCACCAAAGGAACTCTTCCGAGAAATCATGTCAAAATAAGGTCTGTTGGTTAATTTTTCTGACATAGCAAATATTGTTTTGCGGCATTGCTTGATGAAAGTATTCTTTTCTCCATTCAGTTCCCGGGTGTGAGATTCAGTTGAAGTGAAATACAACAATACCATTTGGCTCGTTTCCCTTTGTATTTGTTTCATTCATGGGAGCTAAAAATTTGAAACTCTCTCAGTAAGAGAAGCTTTCTTTGTCCTCTGAATAATATTGTTGTTACTTGTTCATGAACATAAAAAGATTGGTCTTGGCTTTGTATTGGTACTATGGTTCCCAGAACTGTTTCTGTGACTTGGTTCAATCAATATATTCCCTATTTACCAAAATAAGAAGATTGGCCCTTTTTTTACATGTATTGTTGTTATTTTTATCCTCATTGTCTAAATTAACTGAGTCCAACGATCATATTTTCTCAATTTCCCTAAGTTTATATTTGATATAAATATTGACTTAGGTGTGAGACTGAGGCATATCTATAATGATAATAATTCATTGAGAAAGTTTGTCGACAATTATGGTATCAAGTGAGTAAATGCATACCAATTCAAGCGCTAGGTAACATGAACATGAGGTGAGATTGAAGAAGTTGGCTCCCTCCTTCCTGAAGAGAAGTTTCAGAAGCAACTCCAAAACATGAATTAGGGTTTTAAATGCATGTGAATCTATATCTAATCACACCTAAGATCGTGTCTTTAGCAAGATCAAGCAACATAACATGCACTCGCCAAATGTTCGATAAAATGCCCCATGGAGACGTAATTGACTGCAAAGCGATGCTCTCCAACTATTCTCAGCTGGCTCTTCAACGAGGAGCTCTTTTTCTCTTTCACCTTATGAGAATTACCGGTACGAAGCCTAACCACTTTTCTTTCACCGCAATTTTGAATCCTTACGCGGGACTAGGGGAGCTTCAAAATGGAACCAAAATTCATGCATTATCATTGTTTTTTGAGTATCAATCTTCGTTGCCTGTTAATAATTCGCTTGTTGATATGTATGGGAAGTGCTTAAGTCCGTACTGTGCAAGTATAGTGTTTGATGGTTTTTGCTAATAAAGTCACTTGGTGTTCCCTTTTGTTTTCATATGTGAATGCCAGTCAGTTGAACACTGCTCGTGAAGTGTTTCATTTGATGCCAAAGAAGGTTCAGATTGCTTGGAATATTGTGATTGTAGGTTATGCTCGAAGTGTGGAGATTGCAATTATGCATTGATACGTTTAGAGAAATGGGAGAGAATTTGTATTGCCCGGATCAGTGGATTTTCAGTGCTCTTATGAATGCTTGTCCTGAATCATCCGAATATTCATATGGATGCATGGTGCATGCTTTTATCATCAAAACAGGTTGGAGCTCAGTGATGCAGGCAAAGAGTTCTGTTTTAAGCTTCCATACAAAACTAGATTGCCAGGATGATGCTATGGAGTTTGAACCTCTGAAATGCTAACTCAGGTGTCTTATAATGCCATCCTAGATGCTTATATAACTTATATGAAAAAGGTAAAGACTAGTGAAGCCTTTAATGTGTTTCAGAACATGCCAGAGAAGAATGTTGTTTCATGGACATCAATGATTGCGGGGTTTGCCAAGAATGGGCCGGGAAGGATAGAAAACTCTTGGCTTCTTTATTTACATCATGAGAAATTGTATATGCCAGATGATTTTACATTTGGAGCTGTGCTTCATGCCTGTTCGATTCTGGCAGTACTAGGGCATGGTAAAATGGTCCATGGTTGTGTTATTAGCCATGATTTTCAAGTTTATGCTTATGTTGGCAATGGCTTAGTTAACATGTATGCTAATCTGGGGATATCAAGGGGGTTTAGTTAACATGTATGCTAAATTTGGGGATATCAAGGGGGTTTAATTAACATGTATGCTAAATTTGGGGATATCAAGGGATCAAGGCCTGCATTTGATGATATTCTAGACAAGGATTTGGTCTTCTGGAATACCATGTTGTTTGGATTTGGGATGCATGGATTGGCTAGTCCAGCTTTACAGTTCTATGAAGATATGATGACATCTGGGATAAAGCCTGATAAGGTGACCTTCATAGGCTTGTTGATGACTTGTAGCCACTCTGGTCTGATCGAGAAAGGTCGGTCGTTCATTTTTTGAACGGATGGAGAGTCAGTATATGGGCTTTCCTATGAAACGGACCATGCTGGTTGTATGGTGGATATGCTTGGCCTTGGTGGATTTCTAGCAGAGGCCAAAGAGTTGGCTAGTAAATACTCTCATACAAGCGGTGACAAGAGCATCTCATGTGAAGCCTTGTCAGGGGCATGTTCAACTCATTGGGATGCAGAAACCAGGATGTATGTTGGGCAAAATCTGAAGATTTTGGAAACTCATAATGAAATGAGCTGTGTTGTTATCTAACATGTATTGCGCGGGCGGACGGGGGAGAGAAGCAGAGATTGTTAGGAAAGCAATGGTGGATAAAGGTGTAAAGAAAATGCCTCTATGCAGTTGGATTGAAGTTAGAAATAAGGTAATAATTAACATTTGTTTGTGGCAACAATTTCCATATGGAACAGTCATGCAAGATTTTATACTCCCTTAAACTTGAAATGAGAAATCCATGCTTTATCAATTTGCAAAATTGAAAAGAACTTCCCTATTTTACCCAACACTCATTTTAACTTAATCTTGAGTTATACTTAAGTTGCATAAGTTATAGGATTGGGTTAGGCTAAGCTTGGATTGAAGTCAATTATTTTCTATTATTTGAGATTGTGAGGTGTAGTTATTATTTTACTATAAACTGTTAAAAGTCACACTAAATTGGGGCGTTAAGGTTTTTATATTGTGCTTGACAATTCTTAATCTCTTTGAAATATTTTCAAATGATGAGTGCAGAAATGGCCAAAAGAGAGAGAGAGAGAGAGAGAGAGAGAGAGAGATGAGTGCAGAAAAATTGAAAATTTTGGTACCGTCAATGAATGGAAAAATATGTAATTTAGCACCTCATAATATTTTTATTAGTGAAAAAGCCCTGATAAAATTTTTGGTGACAAATAAACTCTTAAAATTGTAATATAAGATAACGAATGTGTCTAAAGTGAACGAAAGGGATGACATGTTACCATGTACGCTAAGATGTGGTCCAACATTTTCCCCTTATACATCTACTTTTTAAACACATTTACTACATGATATAATTTTAAAGGCTTATTTGTCATTAAAATTTTGTCATTTTAAAGGTTAGTGTGCATAAACAAGGACATGCTATGTCTACTATTGTCTTGTATGTTTACTAGTCTCCTAGTATCATATGGTAGAGAAGCTTTCAGCTTTCATGATCTCATCATATTCTTATATGTTAAAAAAAAAAAGTATGTTCTATTAGACAAATGGTTTTTTTTCTTTTCTTTTTTTCTTTTTTGGATTTGTATGGTACTATACTCCTAAATCAGTTTGTGTATATTTTAAGATTAATTCTTAAATTTGATAAAAAAATAAGTCATCCATGCTCATACTAAAGAATTTATGAAAAATTAGATTTTCATTGTCTACTCAAATTCAAGAAATCAAACCTTAACAATAACAATAAAATGAAGCACAAAGTAGCAAACTCCACTAACCTACTAAGCTATCACTCATTTGATGGAATCTAAAGCTGAATTTGTGTGTAGTATCCAATGGTATCATTTTTTGTTTTTCTAGAGATTCAATACGGCCCAAGTAATATGCTATTTTTATCCATTTTTAGCTATCATACCTAATATAAAAGAGTCTTTATATTTAGTTGTTACACTTTTTTCTTTTATCAAAATATTAAATATTTTGTTTTAAAATCACCCTTATTAAAATGTCAATAAATTTTGTATTACAAATAGAAAGGACAAAAATGAAATTTAAAGAGTTAATAATTGTGTTTTTCAACTTTTTGTGGCGAACCCCACAAACCAACTAAGCTACCACACACTGGGAAGATCTAAACTTGAATATGTGTGTAGCATCCAATATGAGAAAAATGTTATCAATTGGACTTTTAAAAATTGGTTAAATTCTAATTTTGGTCCCTCAATTTTAGTGAGTTGCACATTTTTGGTCCCTTAATAATTTTTTGTACTTTTTTGATCCCTCAACTCTAAAAAATGCACACCATTAGTCCTTCCGTCAATTTGGCCGTTAACTCCGCCCATGTGACATTTTTTATTTTATTTTTTATGACATAGTGAAAACAACTTAAAAAAGTGTTGATTTGGAGATTTTTTTGATAACATATCAATGCCAACTCATAAACCAAATTTGATTAACATTTATATTTGGCAAAAATATGACATAAGAACCCAAACTTACACCAAATTCGCAATTTCGGACTCAAACTTTGATTGCACTCAATGAAGGTCCCGAACTCCACAAAATTCTCAAATAAGGTCCCAATTGGACGGAAAACTAACTTCCCTCAAATCTCCTATTATTCCGTTAATGTTCCGTCACATTTCACACCCGCCACTTGAAAAAAATTGGTTAAATGTTAATTTGGGTCCCTCAACTTCATTGAGTTTCACTTTTTTGTCCCTCAACTTTATTAAATTTCACTTTTGTCCCCCAACCTCATTAAATTTCACTTTTTTATCCCTCAACTTGATTGAATTGTACTTTTTTGGTTCATAAACTATTTTTTGTACTTTTTTGGTCCTTAAATTATTTTTTACATTTTTTTAATCCCTTAACTTTAATAACTGCACAATTTTGACACTTTCATTAGTTTAAGCCATTAACTCCGTTCACTTGGTATTTTTTATATTTTTTTGATGACATATATAATCTAACTGAAAAAAAATAATAACATGAATAAATAAAATAACATGTAGATAAATCTTTATAGTTTTTATAAAAAAATATAAAAACCTCTCTACTTATTTTCTTCCCCCTCTTTCTTTCTTTTTCTTCTAGCGGGGGAAGAAAATAGGTGGAGGTTTTTTTATTTTTATTAAAAATATTAAAATTTATCTACATATTATTTTATTTATCTATGTTATCATTATTTCTAGTTAGATGATCTATATTATTATTTTTTTCCAGTTAGATTATACATGTCATCAAAAAAATATAAAAAATACCAAATGGACGAAGTTAATGGCTTAAACTGATGAAAGTATCAAAATTGTGCAGTTATTAAAATTAAGGGATTCAAAAAGTGTAAACATTTTACGGACCAAAAAAGTACAAAAAATAATTTATGAACCAAAAAAATACAATTCAATAAAGTTGAGGGATAAAAATATAAAATTTAATGATGAGGGACAAAAAAATGAAATTTAATAAAGTTGAGGGACAAAAAAGTGAAATTTAATAAAGTTGAGGGACAAAAAAGTGAAACTCAATGAAGTTGAGGGACCAAAATTAGCATTTAACCAATTTTTTTCAAGTGGGTGTGAAATGTGACGGAAACATTAACGGAATAGTAGGAGATTTGACCGGAAGTTAGTTTTCCGTCCAATTGGGACCTTATTTGAGAATTTTGTGGAGTTCAGGACCTTCATTGAGCGCAATCGAAGTTTGGGTCCGAAATTGCGAATTTGGTGTAAGTTTGGGTCCTTATGTCATATTTTTGCCTTTATATTTTTAATAAAAAAATTAAAAAACTACAAATTTACCTTAATACCCTTGTCTCCCTTGATCCATCTTCTTCCTTTCTTTTTTCTTTTTCTTTCTTCCTCTTCGTCCTCTGTGTTGCTGGGTTCCTTCAAACCCAACTGATCTGGATTCAAGGGAACCCAGCTCAAGTTCGATGGAACCCATCCGCTGGGTTACATCGAACCAAGATCTGTTGGGTTTCGTCGAACCCAACAACTAGGTTCGGTGAACCCAGCTCTACTTTTTTTGTTATATGTTTGTTGCGAAGAGCTTATGCAAATTGTAGGTTGTGAGGGATTTTTGAGATCCTTTTCTTCATATTTCCTAAGTATTGTCTAAATGATTTCAATGTTCAAAATGGAAAGAACATCGCCGGCGATGGAAAGAATAGAAGTAGTGACCGATGGCAAAGAAGCAATTCTTAGTGGGTTTCCATTTGTTTGGCTAGAAAATTGTATAATTGGGGTGTTTGGATGCTGAGAAAATACTTTCAATCAGTTTGGTTACCGAGAAAACTATAATGTCTGTTAAAAAAAATTTGATGAGAAAATTTGATGAGAAAATTGTAATTTAATTATAAATTAATTTAGAATGTCAATTTTGATTAACATAAATAATTATAGTTTAATGATGATTAATTAGTGGAATTTGACTTGATATTATTTTTTATTCATATAAGTATTTAAATTTAATTTAATTTGTTACATCATTAAAAAAATATAGAAAATGCTGCGTAATTTGCCACGTCATCAAAAGACATCTTTCTTTATTGGTGCTTTGGCAGGCAATGTGGGGCCCATTTGAGTGGATTTGGCATTTTTGAGTTAGGGGAACATGACATGACAAAATGTTTTATCCATATAATCACTTTTTCAAATTTTGCTCTCCACATCATCAAAAAAAATATAAAAAATGCCACATGGGCAAAGTTAATGGCCCAAATTGACGGAAGGACTAACGGTGTGCATTTCTTAGAGTTGAGGGATCAAAAAAGTGCAAAAAATTATTGAGGGACCAAAAATGTGCAGCTCACTAAAATTGAGGGACCAAATTTAGCATTTAACCTTAAAAATTTATGAGAGAAAACACGAAAAATTTATATTATTTTAATAAATTTTTATTAAAAAAAGTTAAATAACATATTTTTAAGATAAGAATGAAATTTTAAATGATTTAAATAATTTAGTGATGCTCTCTTTCCAATAAAAAGAAAAAAGCTTGAGTTTAAAATACATAATATGTTGGTGGGTAAGTGAAAAAATAAAAAATAGTTGTTTTTTATTATGTAATATAAAATAATAAAAAAATAAAAATGAGAGTATTTTAATTTTTTCATTTTTATTAAAATGATCTAATTTATGGTATTTTTTCTCATTATTTTTTAGAAGCTTCAAGAATAAATACCAAGCTCATTCAATATTGTTAATTTTTTCAAAAATTCAGTACATTATGGAATTCTCAAATTTGTCCCTTAAGTAGGAAGATAGGAATAGATTCATCCTTAAAAAAAAAAAAAAGACAAATTATTCATTTAAATTATTAATCAAAATAAATAATCTATTATTTAATATGCGATGTCTTATATGCCAAAAATTTATTTGTCACCTAAGCATGTTTTAACATAAAGTTGATGTATGATGACGTTATATATTAAATAATAAATAATTTATCTTAATTAATAATTTAAAAGGTAATTTATCTTTTTTTTAAGAATAAATGTATTTTTACCCTTTTATTTAAGGAGTAAATTTGGAGATTTTGCCGTTTTACACCATTAAATGTCTTTAATTACATTTTTATTACAAAAGGAAGGGACAAAAATGAAATTTAAATGACTAATAATTGCGTTTTTCAACTTTTTGCTAAATTTCCCTTTTAGCTAAGTAAGTCCTATCTTGTATGTTAATGGAAATGGAAGGCGTAAGTTTTAGCCCAATAGGTAGGGAAATTAATTCTTTAAATGTCACAATGGTATGGGGTGCGCTCTTAAGATTGTGCAAAGAATGATTAATCTTAAGATATTAAAAAATTAGTTAGAGAACAACTTAGGGTGCATTTGGAATTGTAGTTGAAAGCTTTTTTATGTAGTTGTATAATACTTTTAGATATATGTGTGTTTAGTAATTTTTTTTAAAATTACTCTTTTTAAAAGCTACAGAAAACCACAGTAAATGTATAATAATTTTATATATGAAGCAAGAATCCTCATTTTGAAAATTTTTGGCTATGATTTTTATAAAGAATATCTAATATTTAATATAATTATAAAATTA